AGTCATTTTATTCATCTACTGGTATTAAACTCCTCTTGTGTCTGACTGGGATCTTCTCCGGCTCTCAGCCCCTCCTGCACTGCTGTCACCCTGACCTCCCAGACGCAGGTGCTCTTACCTCCCCTCCTGTCCTGCCAGAGTCTTCTCCTCGAGCAGGGACACAGTCTGCTCCTTCCCTCCCATTCTGATCCCCGCAGGCTCATTCGCAGCCTTCTGGAGAAGGGAGCACAGTGGAAGACGTGAGGGGACTAGTAGGAGAATCTCCTCCCTCTGGACCAGCACTTTCAGCCCAGAGCCAGGGCCAGGGCCCCTGTTCTTCCACCAGAGACTCTTAGTGTTTGTGCACAGCGCCAGCAGGTGTAATCACTCCCTTCCAGCGTCCCGCCCCACTCAGTTCCACAGGCTGGGAGAACACTTTCTCAAGGGAATATTTGGAATCAGTATTTGGATGTTCAAGCTGAGCCCTTCCATGTGAACCAGTGATCTGAATCGCTTATTTTGAGCTCATTTTAAGCCTCTGCAGAAGAGCACACTGAACCTGTGAAAGACTGCACTGTCACCATACAGCAACACTGCTGACTGATTGAAATATGGATTGGGGTTCAGCTGCGTTCATGAGGAGTTCTAGGTGTTTTAGTATTAGTGCTCAGGATGAGGCTGGGAGTTACTGCATTTCTCAGTCTGTAGTAATAAGAACATTTTTTATATTATGCCTTGAAAAACATCTTCTTGACGTGTTATACAATAAATAACCTTTAACCAGAAACTGACAGAAAACACTTTGAAATTGAACACTTCTGTGCTGCTGGCGATGTCTGGTGGATGCATAGTGAAATGTCTTTTAATGTAGAGGATCTCTATTATTTGCATTGTACCCTAACCTCCATATAAAACTCCTACTTTAGACACACTAACCATCTGCAGGAGCAGGACTGGACACCATGCATACAAATCTGTCTCGCACGCTCTCCTTGCTTGGGATTCACAGCACACTTTGGATTTTGTCAATATAAAAGATACAATTTCTAAAATAATGATTAGGAGATGAACTTCAATGCACAGGAAACTACCTTAATCTTTTCAAGATTGAGAAATACAGGCAACTGAAATCAAAATAATACTCAAACATTTACATTCGCACCATATCACCCTGCAACGCAGAACTGGCCACCCACTGAGGCTCAGCAGGTGTGAGCCTGGCCAGTACCTGGATGGGAGACCTCCTGGGAAAAACTAAGGTTGCTGCCGGAAGAGGTGTTAGTGGGGCCAGCAGGGGGGCGCTCACCCTGCGGTCCATGTGGGTCCTAATGTCCCAGTATAGTGACAGGGACACTGTACTGTAAACAGGCGCCGTCCTTTGGCTAAGACAGGGCGTTTCTCGAAATGAGTAAGGGTGTAACCCCGGCAAATTTCCC